GCGCGCGTGTGTGAGCGAGCGTGTGTGCATGTGTGGGTATGTGGGGGGGCGCGTGTGTGTGTGGGTGTGGGTGTGGGTGTGTGTGTGTGTGTGTGTGTGTGTGTGTGTGTGTGTGTGTGTGTGCATGTGTGTGTGTGTTTCATAAATATGTTGGAGTTACAAGAGGGCCCGCTGTTGATCGACAGCGCCCGGCTGCCGCACTAAGGGCAGCCGGCATGGTGTCTCCCAACCCCCGCAGCCCTCTCGCCTGCATTGCGTTGTAGCGGGTGAACCGGCTGAGGTTGCGGTTGTTGACGATGCCACTGCGAACGCGTACGCGGCGTCGGCTTTCAGAATGATAAAGAGAGGTGCTGCGCTGCCGCCTCGCCATATGGCAACATGCACACCGCGCATGCATCGGACTCTGGTGGCACCTGTGTTCTCGCTTCAAAACCCCCTGCCTTGCCATTTTCACGCCTGATTGGGTCCGGACCCTCCCTGTCCCAGTTGTGACCGGATGGCTGCAGTGGGCGGTGCGACCCACCTGTAGACGCCCAGGAAGATCAGGAAGGGCGCGAATGGGAAGAGATGGTACACCTGGTTGAGGGGCGCCAGCGGGGCCAGTGCCCGCGCCACAAAGGGGTACTGGGGGTTGGGGGAGCGGTTCCAGGGTGGAGGGCAGGGGAGGGAATTGCAGAGGTTGAGGAGAGGTAGGTGTGAGAAGCTCCATTGACCGCATCCGTAGTGCATGCATGTGTGTGTGGGTGTGCGCGTGTGTGGGCATGCGCGTGCACCTGAATTCATAGGCAGGCGCTGCATTGCCGTGCTGGTGGTGAGAGGGCATGCCGCCGCCTCGCGCGGCGCGTGGAGGCCGCGACTCCCGCAGTTGTCAGGGCATCGCACCTCCAAGAAGATGAAGCGGCCGTATGGCAGCGTATCCAACAGCGGCAGCAGGTAGGGGAGCTGCGACCACGGTCGCACACGGATCAGGGAAGGGTGAGAGCCGGCTCAGGGACACCTGGCGGCCCCCAGCCGCGAGGTCAGTTGCTGTGTCCCCAGCGCAATCCATGCTGCAGCATGGCTGGGCAAGCAGCAACTAATAACTCAGAATCAACGCTAATGCGCAGCAGCGGAGCAACACGCGACAACTTGTGCTCGAAAGCGGGTGCGTGGTGGCAGAGCACGAACCACGCACACGCTGCCGTGCATGTAGTGTGCTGCAACGGCTCACCGATCCCAGCAGCCGGTCCGAAAGCTCTGGCCCCTTGTTCATGTTAAACGCCGCCGCCCTGGTGTCTCGCCGCGCTGGGTGCTGCACCAGTAGCGCATTCCGCTGTCCTGGTCGCTGCTGCTGCTGCTGCATGGGATGGGTGCGCACTGGGCGGACCGCTGCCATCGACGAGGGCGAGCTAAACGCACTTGAAAAAGCCCGGGGTGTCATTTTTTGGCTGAGCATGGCTGAGACGCTGCACCAGCAGACGGTGTCGAGCAATTCCAAACAGATCTTGCTCAGAGGTGGTCACGAGATGCATGAAACAATGCGTCACCTTGCAGACTTGCAATGCGACACCTGTTTGAGCCCTGGAGACGGCTCCATTGGCATACCGATCGTTCGTGAGTGAGGTCACCCGCTTGTGAAAGGAACCCGCGCGCGGATGGAACGAGCCTCGCGCGGGCTTCAGCACAATGGGATGATTGATATAATCCAGTTCGTTGCTTCGGTCGTGCAAGCAGTCTGCTGTCTACCGTATTCAGCTGGAGGGTCGGTTTGTTGACACGGCGTTTCAATCACCCAGCATGCAGACGTGTAAAGCGTCATCGACATGAAATCGAGCTCTCAATCAAGCATCAGCGTCCCGTGAGACACTGCGACAGAGGGACAGGCCCCAGCGGCGGCGTGAACGGGACGCAAACGCCTTTGCTCATGCTCCGGCGTTGTACAAAGAACTCGGGAGACGCAATCAGCATCCAGATCAATGCTTTGAACCAGAGCCCTTCAGATTAGAGCAGCGGCTCCGGGCGGTGGGGCCGCGACAGTCGCTATGGACTCAGCTGTGGCAGTCCTGCAGCAGGCACAGCGGGTGCACCATGATGTGCATTCGTCAGTAATCAAGCCCCTCTGGCTTCCAGTTTTTTTTGGAGGTGGGCGCTGCACATGGCCAATGACGCCCCAATGGCTGCTTTGGTATTATCCGCAACGGCTGCAGACCGGCAGCAAGCGGCTGCAAGTGGTCATGAAATGCACGCAGTGCAAAGCTGCGCGGCCATCACACCTCCATTCCCCTACGCAGGCCACGTGTTTGCCGGATACTGGCTCGTGAGGAGCTATCTGGTGGCGCACCCCCAGTTCAGCTTTTGGGACCTGCTCTGCTGCCGCTGCTGCAGGAGCGGTCCCGGGGACGGCCTGCCGCAGTCTGACCCGGGAACGGAGGAGGAGAGGGTGCTGGAGCGCGATGCGGCCGCACTGGACGCGGCGGGGGATGACGAGGACGGGCAGGCCCTCGGCGGCGGCGGGCGCGCGTCACGTGAGCGGGGCACTTGCTCCACTGTGGTGCCACACCGCAAGCACGGCTCATGTTACAAGCTAAACATGCTGGGGCTCATGGGGTATCTTGAGGTGTGCACGTGACGATGCATTCTCACACACGCAGCTGTGTGCCAGAGTTCGCGCTATGACCACGCGACCGACCACGAATCGGCGGCTGCTTGTTTGCAGGGCTGTCCCAGTCGCAAAAAGGCAGCGCCGATGGAGGTGCGCCCCGCAGCGTGCGGCACTCAGCTGCGAGCAGCCGGCGGTCAAAGCAGGTTGACCGCGTGGAGCTGGAGTGGCTGGCCCTCAGCTGCTGGTACAGCACCAACGCGGGCAATAAATGGGTGCTGCGGGAGATCTATGGCAGTTCACGGCCAGCGGAGATGCAGGTGGGCACGTGTCTGGGTTGAGCTTGGTGGGGTCCTGTCACCAGTGCTAAAAGGCATGGGGGACACTAGTGAGTGAACGGAATCGCAGGCTCAGGTGCTGCAGCACATGCAGGCGTGGCGTCTGCTGTCAGCAGCTTGGACTGCTGTCAGCCATCAAACAAACTCAACACAGTTCCCCACTACACTCACCCCCTCGCCAGCACACACGAAACCCGCACAGCCTCATACATACTCGCACGCTCCCATGCCTGCAATGGCAAGCCTGCAGCCCTTCTTGACACAACCAAACCCCGCAAACCATCAGGCCCTGCTGGGCCCCTCTGGTGCCGGCAAGTCCACGCTCATGGACATTCTGGCGCAGCGCAAGTCAACGGGCAACCTGGGGGGCGCCGTGCTGGTAGACGGGCGGCCAGCGGACGCCGCGTTCCTCCGGCGGACGGCCTACGTGCCGCAGCGGGACAACTTTGTGCCAGTGATGACGACCATGGAGGTGTGACGCGGTGGTCAGAATGGGGGCAAGGCAGCTGGCTGGTGCCCTGCACGTTTGCTAGCGTAAATTGGGAAAGGGGCGAGTGTGGTGGTCATGTGCAAAAATTTGCAATTTTGGTCAAGTTGCACTCAGGCTTGCCATGACAGTGGCCGCATCAGCAGCAAAAGCCTCTACAGTGGCGGCAGCAGCAGCGGCAGCAGCAGGGGCACCAACAACAGCAGCGGTAGCGGCAGCGGCAGTCGACTGTGTGCAGCCGCCTTGTCGCCGGATTTCAACAAGCTTCCAACCCCCTCATCACCGCAGGTCATGCAGTTCTACGCGGGGATGATCCTGCCAGGCTGCTGGAGCACCAGCCGCCGCGCCGCCCGTGTGGAGGAGGTGCTGCAGGAGATGGGCCTCGCGCACGCCACAAAGACGCTGGCCGGCGGCCAGATGCCCGGCGGCCGCACGATCCGCGGGCTGAGCGGCGGCGAGCGCAAGCGGCTGTCTATCGCGGCGGGCATCCTGGCGGCGCCCAGTGTGGTGTTTCTGGACGAGCCCACCACCGGGCTGGACTCGTTCTCCGCGCTTACGGTGAGCCCCTAGTGGGGCGGGCGCTGTGGCCGATGACTGGTGGTGGTCAACGGTCACTTATTAGTGTGACCTTTGATGTGGACTGCAGGGCCGCGTGTCTATCCTGCGGCAGCCGCGGAGCGGGACAACGTGCTGGTACGTCAAAGGGCACCAGACTGTAGGAGCTTGCATTGGCCTCGTCGTTAACGGCGAGAAATCACGCGGCATGCTGCAAGCTTGCGACCTGGCGCCACAACCCCCATGCCGTGCCCCCCCCCCCTGTTCTACCTCAGGTGATGGGTTACATGAAGCGCATGGCACGCGACAATGGTCACATCGTCATCGCCTGCATCCACCAGCCGCGATCGGCCATCTGGAGCATGTTTGACACGGTGTGTGGGGCACTGTTTGGCAGCAAGTGGGGATGGGTGAAGCGGCTCAAGACTGTTGTCGTGCCTGGATCAAGGGCGGAGTGCTTGCAGGTATTACGGTTTAGGGATTGGCGTTGATGCTAACACGGCACCTGCAGCCCTGTCAGCTCAAGCAGCCCAGCACACTGAGCCAACCGCCGTCATCAACCGCAACCACCGCCGCCGCCGCCCGCAGGTCACGCTGCTGTCCTGCGGCCGGCTGATGTACGCCGGCATATGCGACGGCCTGGTGGAGTGGTTCAGCAGCATCGGCTTCTCGTACGACGCGGGGATGCACGGCGTCGTGTCGGACTGGGCGCTGGACCTGGTGGCCTGCGGCAGCCACAAGCCGCGGAAGTTCTACGGCAACACCATCACCGCCAAGGAGGAGGTCCGCAGCATCAGCGCGGCCTTCGTCGCGCGGTGGCTTGCACTGCACAACGGCGGCAGCGACGACGACGCCGCAGGGGACGGGGACCTCCGCGGGGGGAGGGTCACCAAGGTGGCGCGCCCCGTGCCGGAGCTCGCGCTGGGGTCTGCAGCGGC